CATTGCTGAGCGAATCACTAGGCAGGATTGCAGGGTTAGGGCCTCAGGGTTTCGGATTAGACTAAAGCGAACTGCTGAGGGTTGTTCTAAAATGATTTCTATAACGGCCGGTACGCTATGATTTGACTGGTCTTTATCTTAGAAGTCCACTGCTTTTCAATAAATCTATATTTATTATCATTGATACTATTTGACTTTTCTATACCGGCCGGTATTTGACTAGCCCCTATCTTAGAACCTCAGCACGTGACTATGTAGGTTTCGTGGGGCCGCGGGCCTACCCGTAGTCGGCACGCGTCGGAATGCAAGATTCAACAACTCAGGAGCGAGGACAACAGCGGGGTGCGGAGGGGGGGGGGGGGGNNGGGTTCTGGATTAGGGCACCTCCGAGGACAAAAGGCTTCTTTCTGCTCATGGGAGAGCGCTCTCCTAATTGACTTCGGCCATGAAAATTTGAGCCAAACCCTATTCCTAACGCCTACAAACCGACAAAAGCCTACACCCTGGATTTGAAGGCCCCATGGACCGCACAAACAGGAACTGCGACCGGACTACATGCAAGTGCCTGAGCAGCCAATGGATGTTTCTGTTCAACAACAATGCCTGAGGGGTATTGTTGCTCGGTTTGAAACCATTTCCAATAGCAGAGTGGGGCGCCTTACGAAAACCAAGCAGTAGAACTGGCCTGCCGTTTTGCTTACCAGGAGGGTCGTGAACAGCGTATGTTGTCCTTGGGTGCCCCAGGAAGCTTCCAGCAAAGGCCACCGCTTTTCGTCTCGGCGGCATCATCGTCTTTGAAAGCTGCGGTCTCTTTTGTGCTATACATTGAGACCGACTAAGCAGTCCCAAAAGGGCTCTGAAGCCAAACGGGGTCAACTCAGGCCTGGAAACAAACTTGGAACCTGAAACAGCGAATAGGAGTGCACTGTTTCATAGTCCAAGAGAGGTACCATGAAATCCCAGCTCCTAGCCCCATACCAGCACTCAGCAATGTTATTTCAGGGTCTGTTTTGCTAAATACGATGATGATGATGATGATAATGATGATGCTCCGAGCATCGGTAATTTTCAATCCAGGATACACGTGCCTGAGAAAAACGCCACTGGTCTACACCTGTTACGTATCATCGGCAGCATCATGGTACCCCGTGTTTGCTATACTACTGACTACCGCTACAATAGAATCGCTTTAGCCCGCAATTACCTTCAGAGCAATGAGCTATGTCCATCCTGGTTAGAGCACGGCTAACCCTTAAATGGATATTACTGACTGATGTGGCACGGCTACCTCACAAACTCCGAACTCGAACAGATTTCTGTAATTTGAAAAGGGAAAAGCTTTCGCTACATATTTGTTAGACGATCCCGAATAATTCACAGGTAGTCTTTCTAGAGGTGTCTGTATAGCAGTATAGCAGGAGGGCCTTCTATTCCAATGGAAGCCGAACACGCTGAAGTCCTAACCGGTAGCCCTTCTAAACAAAATAATCGCGCATGTCCAGGGTCCAGACCCTTCCAATATTATCCGCGTACCTAGTTACAACCAGGCCAACCCGCGATGCCCACACACTACCCGGTGCTAGTGTAGCTTGCCGTATGCTCCTCCCCGCAATCCTTTTTTCAAACTTCATGGGTTCAGACCCCGCTCACGTTCGGCGTCGTCACGCATTTGCTGATGCGCCCTCCGCAGGAGCTTCCGAAACCTTACTGGAGCAAAATCGATCATGCTAGCGGCTCGCGTTCTGGTTTGGGCTTCGGGGGTAAACAAGGATCCGGCTAAGGAGTTGCAACTTACGCTTATGCGTGTTGAGGGGTTTTGGGGCATAAGGTGTTAATTAACACTCTCTGCGAAGACAACGCAGAATGCAAACTCATTCGCTTTCACAGAGAGCGTCGTGAGCTTGGCCGCGAACCTCGAAAAACTACAGCATAGAACGCGAGAGCTGCGAGTGTCGGCTTGCTGCATGGTATGCTGTCCATTGTAGGAAGATCGCTGAACCATACAACATAAACTGGGAGTAAAGAGTTTCTTTCGCAGCGTGTCTGCTTGACTGCAGGCCTCCAGACAAGTCTTGGCGAACAAACCAAAGCCCTCAGTCCTACGGTCTTATACACCTAAGTCATCCCGAATACCATCCAAAACCACATGGTGCAGCCGAGCTACTGCGGGCCAGACAAGCCCATAGAACTAAGAAATTCCGCGCTCTGCTCCTTGTTTGCCAAGGTTCGTCTAGGAAACCCCAACCTTGAATGTCAAGCTGAACCGCTGAACGGTTTGCCGTGTTGAGCTCTCAGAAGTTCAGGCAGGAAGTGCTGATGTGTAGGTCCTTTTCTTGCGATCACAACTGATCCAAATTTCGTGAGATTCAATGGCTTTTCTTTTGGGGACACAGAGATGCAAAGGTCTTGATTCTTGATTTGCAGCTTCTGGCTTTTTGTTGGTCTTCCAAAACTTTGGGCTACTCCAGCTCTAGGCAGGACATGGTAGGAGGTTCCTGTACGATGCATGGTTTCAGGCTCAGGGTATTACAGGGCTTACGGGACTTTCTGGGTAGCACAAGAGTGTTTGCAAGGTTCGGGCTTGCGACCTCAAAACTCCGACCCCCGAAGCCCGGCATGTGAGCTTAGACGGCAGCGACGTCAAGCCGCTCAAGCCTAGCAAGGCAACCACCAAGAGCACTCAGAGCACTATCGTATGTACGACCAGGCCCGCACCAGCACCAGCTCAACAGTCCAATAGTACTGACAACGGTAACGGCAGCACCGGGACCGCTGGCACCAGCACCACCACTACACAGGCCCTCGCCGCACATTCCAGCCCCAGCAAAATCGGAATCAACATACAAGCATTTAGTGTCGTAACAATACCAAGCAGTCTAGACTGATAAAAAACGAAGGCCAGCAACGGGAAATGAAAGCAGCAGCAGCAGCTGCACCTGTAATCTTGACGAGCATTTGGTCGATCGCGTTGTTTTGTCGCTGTGGTGATGACTCAACCATAAAGCTGATCTATAATTTGCGCAGCACCATGTGAACCACTGTCCGCACTTGTCCTTGATAAACATGGTTGATACAGCAGAGCATCGATCCTGTGTCCTATTGTTTCCTGCTGAATCAGGCCCTACTAGCCGCGATGTCAACTGCAACCCACGTGTGCAACATGAACGTTTCCAGAGAACACAGAGGGGCAATGTAGACCCTATAATAAAAGTAAGATTGTCACTAGGAAACCCTCACTTTTGAGACCCAAATCAAGTGATCCTTGTAGTCCGGGCTGAGAGCTCCAAGCAGGCCCAAGCGCCCGAAGAAGATGTCCCATCGCTCCTCTCCAGCTGTGGCTTCAGGGCTTCTGATTTTGATGTGTGTTGCGAATTCGGGCTTCTGCGATTGTAGAAGCGCTACGAACCGTGAATTGCGAGTCATGTGCTTTCTATTATGAGCCTGGACCGGTACAGCACTGGGAGAGTTGAGGGGGTCGGGCGTAGTTGGTCATTGACGTGGCGGGGGCGAGGGCTCAAAGTGGACCGAACACACCTGTCACACGAACTTTTGCAAACGATGAGAGGCTACACGACTGCACGCTATCAGAAGTAAAAACCCCATACCAATGCCGAGGTTTGTAAACCATCCCATCAGAACACCTGACACCGAGGTGGGGTAGGGGGAACACAATGTTGCGCAGCCGAGTCTGTTGTGACTAAACGATCGTATTCTGGATAGTGCTTAGGGCTTCCGGCTGATAAGGCTCAAGGTCAATGGCAAACTCTTTCCACACTGTCACGCATCGTCGACATCTCCAGGATGTGGCAACTCGTTTTTTCGATTCTTCACTCCCGAACTCTAACCCCTGCAGCCCCAAACCCTACATTCGTACCGTAATCCCGGATTTGCATGCCCAGACGTCTTGCACTACCACCGACTCCCCAACAGTGTTCCAGGAACGACAGTGCCGCAACAAGTGCTTACTATCGTTGCATCGACATTGGCCAGGTGCTGCGAAGCATACCGTGTAGGCACGGTGACCATTCTTGCTCAAGATACACGTCGAGCTCTCGTAAGAACTTGGCCCAGAACCTTAGGCTACCCTGCTGTGTGCCAGTCTGAATTGCAAGTGTGCCGGGCTAAGAGCCTTAGGGGACCCTACCCTCGCCGAGCCGGGTTCTTGCACAGAATGTTCACGGCATTGCGAGTATTGCGATTGTTGTTGATGATGGTGATGCATATGCTGAGCTGCTAATCGTCAAGACCTGCCCCTCCCCATAACAGGGACCCTCAGCGCCTCGATCTTCTCGAGCTGGTCGAGGAAGGCGATCTTCCCCAGCGGGTCAAAGTTGCCGAAGGACCTTTGCGGTAGCCAGCCTTGCCCTTTCGAGGCATTTTATATGATCCCAAACCCCAAACCCAAAACCCGACAAATTCAAGCTTGCCGCTTAAGAGTTTATATGTATATAGGGCCCAAACTGAAAGTCTATAAGCTCGAATACTAAGAGACTCCCCCATGATGATCACCTGCAGCACGCGGTGGAGAGCGGAAGCTTTTGGTGGTTCGTTCTTCAGGGCTCCAGGATTTTTCCGGAAGCGAAGCTGTGCGGCTTCAAGATGCCATGCGGAATTGGGAAAAGGGGTCGCGCCGTGCAGGTTTGCAGAAAGTTTCGTCGGCGGAGGCTCGAGCTCTTCCGGGGTCGTTCTAAAGTTGAGGCTGCTGGATCTACATAGTGACATACCGTCTTGATGATAACAAGCGTTCACAAACAGATCAGAACTAGAACTCAGAACGATCTCACACCGTAACACATCCAAAATCTTGAACCGAAGCTGCCCATGGGTACTGGTCCGTGAAACTTCTGTAGTCCAACATCTCCGAAGCATCGATCTCAAAAGGAGCCGTGGCCTGCTGGTGGTCCCGGCACAACGCTGCATATTCCTCCTCGGGGTTCCGGAACTGCGGAGGCGGGAGGGTGAGACCTGTTTTTCAACTCCACGATCCACACGGATCAAGGCTGAAGGCTGCAATGAAAGCCCGAGGCGAGGAATCCAGATGACTCAAAGGGTCCTTGACAACTTCGTTGGTAAAGGCCGAGCTGTCGAAGGGCTCTGCTGTGATCATGTTGGGGGAGGCGGCGGCCGAGGGCAAGCCTTCCTAGACACACGCTGGGAAGTACCAGAAGGGTTCACGACGACGGGCTGTTTAGGGCTGCCGTGGGTTTATTTAAGCCTTGCTCCAAACGGGCCAAAGTTCACAATGATTAGGTAAGGAGGTAGGTAGGTAGGGTAGGGTAGGGTAGGGTAGGGTAGGGTAGGGTAGGGTAGGGTAGGGCAGGGTAGGGTAGGGTAGGGTAGGGTAGGGTAGGGCAGGGGAGGGTAGGGCAGGGTAGGGTAGGGTAGGGTAGGATAGGGCAGGGTATGGTGGGGACAGCCTCGACGGGCT